TATAAATCACAATATCTCAAAGATGTACTTAAAACACTACATTCTTGTCTACTTGATTGTCGATTTATGTGAACTTGGCTGAACACTAGTAGCACCTGTATCTAATTAATATCTCTAAGTCAAGAACATTTACCAATTCGTAGGCCAATATTGGACGAGAGCCCTAGAGTAGAAAAAGTGAAGATAAAAATACTTGTAATTCCAGGAGGAATTTATTAGGAGAGGCTGGCTAAGGTTTTGCTCAGAATTACTGTATATAATGTACTAAAGCCACATGGAGGCCTCCCAGGAGGGTGGCTCAGTGCAGACTCTGGAGCCAGAGCACCCAGGTTCAAATGACAGCGCCACCATGTACCTGGTGACCTGGGGCAGATGGCTTCACTTTCATTACCTGGGTGACGTCTTCTGTAAATGGGCCTAGTAACAGTGCCTAATTCATATGTAAAGATTAAAAGGGTTAATTAACATAAAGTGCTTAGAACAGTCCTGGCACGTAGTACATTCTATTAATATTTAGGCAGCTGTTGCACACCAAGACCCTCATTGAATATTTGCACTTTAAATAAAGTACTTTAAATTCCATCTTCTTAAAGCCATTTTTTAATAACCTCAATCCATAATGGACCCTTGGGCCCCTGAATGTCAAAATGAGCACTTATTGCTGGTACTATTTTGTATTTGAGCACACACTGCCCTTGTGATTCTTGGATTTTACCAGTTTTGTGTCTCTGTCCTTGGTTTTTATTTTGTTGTTTTTTTTTTCCCTTTGGTTTTTGTTGTTGTTGTTGTTTTTCTCTAAAACCATAAGCCTTCTTCATTCATTCATGTAATACTTTATTAAGACCCTGAGGGGCCAGGAATAGAATCATGACGAGGACAGACAGAAGTCTTTGCCTTTATAGAGCACATCCCCTAGCAGGGAGGCCAAGATAGGACCCTGGAGGAAAAGTACAGCACAAAACAGGAGCAGGAGCAGGGAGCCTAACCTAGACCATAGGACGGACTGCGTATATTTCACAGTGCCTCGCCCAGCACTGAAGGCCAGGAGCAAAAGAGGTAATGCCTGTATTTTAAAAAGCTTTCTCATAGCTCATTAAATTCATTAAAGCTACAACCTAAACCATTACTATGACCTGCATCATTCTTGCTGCTGTTTTCCTTTACCTGCTTCCTAAGCACTGAGAAACTGTATATTCAAATTCTCCAAATCAGGCAATTACAGAGCTTCCTAATAACTAATCACAAGAAAATTCCTGTAGGCCTAGGGAGAAAAAAAAAAATCCCTGCTTTTAGTCTTTTATTTATTTATTTTTTTAAAAGGCAACTTCTAGACAGAATACCGCCTTTTTGTACTTTCTGTACATACAAATTAAATAAATCTAGAACGACTGTGGGCTTTTACTCTGACCATTGATATGGAGCTTGAAAGACATTAAATCTTTACAGCACCCTCAACTTATTTTTCTACTTGCAATTTACAAGAACAATAAAGGTATCATTAACTCTATTAAGTCTCATTTTGAGTAATTTCCCATATTCATGTAACATTTCGTAGCTGGCACCAGATAAGCATGGCAAGAAAAGAGTTTCAAAGAGTTACCTGCATAAAGCACCAACTAGCTACAAAGCAGTCCAAAACCCACATACATGTCACTGTGTAAAAATATTAACCGTACCATCACTCTCTGGCATCTCTGAATTCTTTCATTTCTGTCCTCTAATTTCAGCAACGATAGCGTTTCAATGGCTAAGGCTCAAATAATTATGGGGGAGTTTGTGCTATGATCTAAATATTTGTGTCCCCCCCCCAAAATTTATGTTGAAATCCCAACTCCCAAGATGACAGTATTTAGAGGTGGGGTCTTCGGGAGGTGATTGGATCATGAGGCAGAGCCCTCATGAATGGGATTAATGACCTTATAAAAGAGAACTGAGAGAGCTTGTTTGCCCCTTCTGCAATGTGAGGACGCACCAAGACAGGGCCATCTATGAACCAGAAAGCAGGCCCTTCCCTTCCCACACACTGATTCTGCTGGTGCCTTGATCTTTAACTTCCTAGCCTCCAGAACTATGAAAAATAAATTTCTGGGGTTTTTTAAAAGTTTTTTATCATATCGGATTCTTTTATTTTTTTTTATTTCAGCATAAAATGAGGGTATAAATGTTAATGTTACGTACATTGCCCTTGCCTCCCCTCCCCCCCCGTCAGAGCTTCAAGCCTGTCCATCCCCCAAACAGTGCACATCGCCCTGATTATGTGTGTATATTCCCAGCCCCTCCCCCCCCACCACCACCTGCCCGACACCCAATAAATGTTTGGGTTTTTTTTTTAACATTTTGGTTACATTTTATATCTTTGCCTTTCCCTAGCAAGGGTTAGAGGTATGCCCTTCCCCTCCACAATGCTCTCCACATCCCTCAGATGTGGGCCTACCCCCCCCAACCCCTGGTGAACACCACTACCCTTTAAGCACCAGAGTGATAATCACTCAGTACCAATTTGATGGCAAGTACATGCCACCCAATCTATAGTGTTCATGTTGTAGCAGCCCAAATGGACTAAGATGGAAGGAGGGGGGTATGGTAGACCCCCAACATCTGAATATATCCTTATATTTAAAGTAACATTTTAAATTTCAATCGTATTGCATTCCTTACCCTCCCAGTGATAAATAAATGTTAATTATAATTAAGTTCAACAAATTCGGGTCTAAAAATATGTGAGAATGAAATGTTCTTTGGCTGTTATTAAAAACTCAAAAAACAACAGATGTTGGTGAGGATGTGGAGAAAAGGGAATGCTTATACACTATGGGTGAGAATGTGAATTAGTACAACCTCTATGGAAAACAGTGTGGAGATTTCTCAAAGAACTAAAAATAGATCTACCGTTCAATTCTGGAATTCCACTACTGGGTATCTACCCCCCAAAAAAGAAGTCATTACATCAAAAAGATACCTATACTCATATTTATCACAACACTATTTACAACAGCAAAGATATGGACTCAAACTAAGTGTCCATCAACCAATGATTGGATAAAGAAAATGTGATATATATACATGAAATACTACTAAGCCATGAAAAACCATGTCTTTTGCAGTAATGTGGATGGAATTGGATGTCATTATCTTAAGCAAAATAACTCAGAAACAGTAAAATACCATATGTTCTCATTTATAAGTGGGAGCTAAATAATGTGTACACACAGACATAGAGAGTAGAATACTAGATGCTGGAGACTTGGAAGGGAGGTGTGGAAAGAGAAACTATTAATACCTAGTAGGTACTATGTACACTAATCGGGTGAGGGTTACACAAAAAGCCCAGACTTCACCACTACACAATAGATCTATTTAACAAATCTGCATATGTACCCCATAAATCTATAAGAAAATTTTTAAAAGAATGAAATATTCTAACTACCAGATGTTAATTTCATACAGATCACTATATAGAATGCACTATGTTCCTGCAAGGTAAATATGTTTCTCCAATAGAGGGATAAACTTTCATGTTTGTTTTTTCAGAGTTCATAACTCAAAGGCCTGTTGACTTGAACTCAATCTGGGAAGGAAATACTGACCAGAGCAAGAAAAATTATTCTTGCTCAGCTATGATCACATGAAAATGTTAGCTCAGATTCTTTTTGTTTGCCTTTTATTATAATAAGCCAGGTTATAACACAGAGACAAGAAAAGTCAACAACGGCACTGAACATCAACATAACCTTGGCTACGATTTGCATTTTGTCAGGACAGATGACTCAAACAAGTAAACTTAGCCACTTCATCAGTGGCTGTCCTGGAGAACATACCACAGGATTTAAAAAACAGGTTTTTCAGTAGTCTTCATCCTGTGTCCTTGAAGAAAACTTATTCTTCTGATCTCCAGCCACTCTTTTTTTGCTAAAAGAAATTGGTTTGTGATGCCAATCATTGACCTGAAAGAGTTATGCTGCATTCCTTCCATTCTGGGTTCCCTGAGGGCTAAGCTGGAAGCACAGTATCTTTTTAAGGCATTTGTCCAGGTCTAAAGGGTCACTATCTCATAGAATGTAAATCTACACTTGCTGCTTAAATATTTTTAACATTTTTTTTTTTTTGCTCCTTTAGGGATATACAAATATAAACCAAATATAAACCAGGTACTTAGCTTTATCTCAGGCATAATTTATTAGGAAGAACTAAACTAGAAATTGAATGACCAGCTCTCAAAGTAGAGCCAGTATTAAACAATTCTGGGACCTTGGGCAAATAACAAATTTTATGGGACCCCAATTTCTTATCTGTACAAGGGAGCAACTAGAACAAATGGTTTCAAGGTTGCTTCTAGTTTCAAAAATGCTCATAATCCCAATTCTTAGTAAGTCACTTCTGTTTTTATTCAGAGGTAGCAGGGTATAATAGAAAAAAATACAAGTTTGAAATCAGACAGACATGGATTGAATCATGTTTTACATTGAGTTATATGCAATTTCCTTACTATAAAATAGAGACAATATAACTTAACTCACCAGGTAGTTATGAAGATTAAATCAAGCAATATGTACCAACTATTTAAAGTGGTTCACTTATAGTATAGTCTTAGTTTTTTAAAAAAACATGTTGCCCCTAATTATGTTTTCAACTCTGCATTTACTTTAGAAGTCATCGCCAATTTGAGGCTTTCAAAGTACCACTTGTGGTATGTACTATTTCTTCAACTGTCACATTAAATTTTTCTTCTTGATATCTATTTTAATTTTCAAGTAAAAAGTCTGCTTTTCTATTTCCTTTCTGTAAATATTCTCCAAACCAGAGGAGCCTCCTTTATATTTTTCCCCTTAAATTACACCTTTTTTTCTTTTTAAGGGTAATTGACTTCTTTGCTCCACTTCTTGCTGATCTGGAACTCTCAGCATCTCAGAGAAAAGATACTGCTATGTTACGTCTTCAACTGGGAAACCAATGCAGAGTGTTAGCCTTAAGGAGATAGAATCTTCATGGAGAAAACTCACCTCTCCAAATCTTTCCATGTTTTGTATTTTAGATAAGTTTCCACCAATAGACATATCATCTAAGCTAGAAAGAATTTTGTTAATACTTCCTTCACTGGATGATCTATTATTCAGTTTGGATCGGAAAATGTCTCCTTGGACCCACAATGACGCTTGTTTTCTGTAAAAAAGAGAGAAAACAAAGTAATCTTTAACATAAACTACCATCATCTCCTCAAAAGTATGATGTCTTAAAAAGAAAATGGTTAGCAGATAAATATTTACAAACCAAAGGTTATGAAATCTTAGAATAAAGAAAAATAAAGTCACTTTCAAAAAGCCAAAATAAAGTTCTATCTTAAACACAAACATCCATCTTCTGGAGTTTGTCTCTATAACATGCGTGGGTTGACTGTTGAGACCCTCAGATGCTTAAGACTAATTCCACAGCAGTAAAGACCATGAGCCCATTGTCTTAAATATGCATTTCAAATCTGCAAGATATTTCTCAAATGGCAATTTGATAAGTCTGTTTATAAAAAGAAAGGAAATGAATGGAACTCAAAAATGTAGGCAAGAGAACTTGAGTTAAACAGTTCATTACCCCAAAAAGTACTAAACATCTACTTGTGTATGTCACCATGAAAGGCCCTCAACACCTAACTTTAGAAACCCACTCTTATAATTTAAAGGCAAGGATTATAGCCTCAATTAGATCTTCCTTTAGGAAAAGAAAATGTGTTTGAAGTTCATCTATAAGCTTTAATTCAACAAGGCACAATCACAACTATTTTCAAAGTTATAAGAAGACAATCCAGGGCTTCAATTTTTATTGATGGGGTCACCTTCATACATCTCTTTTAAGATAAATTTCCTCACAGAATAGTTCTATCTCTACTGTATAGCACGCTGTGCAGAATAGAATCGAACTAAAAATATTGTGGTTCATCACGAGGAATATCAATCTCCAGTGAAATAACAGCATTATCAAGGAGATGGCACCAATAAAAACATAGATTTCTTTTGTAAAGCAACAGGTAGACCAAGTAATATTTTCTCTAAAAGGTTCCACATATCACATAAAATTTAGGTCAAAAGATGAGGAGAAAAACCAACAAACAAAACTCTCACTGAATGTTTCATTGGGCCGTCGGGAAAAGAATTCCTCTTTCTTATTAAACAAAGTTTATTCTCAAATCAGAATTTTATTGTTTATGGTCAAATGCTATAGAAAGTCTTGAAGAAAAGGTTAACCTTTAAAGCATAGCAAAATTTTACATGTGATTTTCCAACCACACAATTCCACATCTAGGTATCACCTACAGAAATTCACACTGTGTACAAGATACACAAATGCTTGTTGCAATATTATTTGCAACAGCAAAATACTGGAGACACCCTAGTGGAAAACCAAGTTATTAGATTCTAGTAGACCCATTATGTGAAATATTATGCAGCCGCTAAAAAGCCTAGGACAGACCTACATGTAGCAACAGGGAAGAGTGGCCATGAAATAAAGAATTAATAAGTGAAAAATACAAGTGACAGAGTGTAGAAAGTGTGATTCCCATTTTTGTTCAAAAAAAGGTGAGAGGGAGGATATTACAATGAAAAAGTTACAATCATATAGAAGAATGTATACCAAAATATTAATTAGTTACCCCTCCCCAATAATCATGATAAGGGAAACTTTCACTTTCTACTGCATAATGCCTAAACTATTAGACTCTTTTTAAACAGTGTGTCTCATTTACTTTTGGAAAACTTAAGTGATCTAAAAAATAAGGATCAAAGCAGAGCAAAGCTAGATAAGTATGAAGAGGAACCTTTTAAGTTGCTATCACAAAAGATAGACAATATGTCACTTTATTTTTTAAACAATAGTATTTATAAGGCACCTTTAGAAGTCAGTAGAATAATGTGAAAATGTTAACAGTATGACATAGGACTGGGGGTTTGGGGGACTTTTTTAAATACAATATCCTATCCTTCCAAATAAGAGGTAATTTTTTGCTTTTAATTTTTGTCCATTTTCCAATATTTTCCAATAAAACAAAGAGGAAAAAGAAATAGATCCAATTTCTGAGACAGCGAGAATAGAGGCTCTAAACATACAATGTTGTCCACATATAAGATAAACTTACCATTTCTAACATTGTTCTAAAATTGAAACTAGTTTAAATTATCTTAAGAAACTTCCAGTATATTTCTCTAAATAGACTGAATATAAAAACAAAAATCTGGTGAGTTTTTAAATATATGAATAAAATAAAACTTCTAGAAATCTACACACACCAATTCACTAGGGAGCAAGCCAGTACCTGCCTTTTATCATGGCAGAATTTGCTTTATGGAAGCAAACCACCAAGGAGTACTTTCTGAGCTTAGGATATGTAAATTGGTGAGGTTAGCATACCACATAGTCACAGTTAATTTTTCTATACCAACAGTAAAAATATGTATTCAAAACACTCTTGTTAACATTTTTCTCCTTTGTAGAAATCTTTATAAAACCATGGAATAGCCTCTCTTACATTTGGCATCTTTAAAAATTTTTGTTTTAATTATTTATACCTCCAGATTTTCTATTTCATGCTAGATCTGGCATAACCCCTTATTTGATGCTTGAATCAATGGTCTCCAAATAGCAGTAAACAAGTAGCAGAGTCCTTGACAGAGAATGAACAATTCAAAAAATAACTGTTAAATTCATAAATGAATGCCTTGAACCTCTGGTCAAAACTACCAGGAATAAAGACCTATTAATACTATTATAAGGCAGAGAAGATTCAGCTCTGTCACAAACAGTGAGAAATTTAGATAAATGAAATACACCGAAAGGACAGGAATATAAGGATAAAAGACTGAATCTCTATCCCTTAAGAAATTCCCAGTTTCGGATAAGAAAAGTAAATAACTGGAATCCAATATGATTGCATCAAGATTTGCCCAGGATTTTAGGAGAAGTGACCCCCAATTCAATCTAAAGGAATCAAAGAGAAGTTCTCCAAGAATCTTAAAGTACCTGGAAAGATAAGCAGGACTTAGCCAGCAAAGAGTGTTGGCAAAGCAAACGATGTGGGCTGGAGAAATAGGGATATCAAAGAACACAGCATGTTTGCAGAAATGAGTGATTTCATTTGGCTGAAGCAGAGGACATTAGAGAAGTATGCGGGAACCAGCTCATTATGGGCCCTGCATGCCATGCTAAGGAATTTAAATTTGATCCCCAAAATGAAGGGAAGACCTTGTAAGGGTCTTTAGGATTAAAAAAACAAAGTGGAAACAGAGGCAGAGAAGGAGGACTGAAGAGGCTGAATTAAGAAAAATTCCAATTCCAAAATAAGTTATAAAATAAAAACTCTGATGCTGCTGCCAACCTAAAGATGAAAATTACAAAGTGACAACTTTCACTTGCTTGGTTTAAAAGACTCAATCTGTCCCATCTCTGGAAAGACTTGATTTGAACCTGAATGTTAAAGATGAATAAGGTGTCAAAGCTGATTTGTGTGTTGCTAAGCGATGCTGCACGCAAGTGCTTCTTGAGAAAAAGCAGCACTTCACGCAAATGCCTTTTTATTGACAATGAAAACCACGCTAGCTTTTATTGTGGCGTCTATTACTCCTTAAAAGCCTCATCTCATACAAAAGAAGTAAAACACATAGTTTTAAGTATTTAGCATTTAAAAATCAAACCTTATGTAACACATCCGCTCAGAGTAAATTCTCCAATAACATAGCACATCTTCTAAGAGAATATGAAATAATACTGACCCTCTGCCAATAGGACACATGCTTTAAAAATGAAAGGAAGAGATTTGTCTTGGCTTGAAGAGAGGCTTGAGAGATGCAGCCAGTGTTGGGGTAATTGTTTTTGGCCATGTGCTGGACTTGGGTTAGGAGGTCTGGGCTAGCCAGGAATGGGACATAAGAAAAAGACTAAATAACGTGGCTTCATTATGAGCCAAGTTGTAGTTGATTCTGACACAGAGCTTTCACAGGTCTTTTTAAAAATTTCCTTCTTAACATTCCTTTATCAAAACTCAAGTCAGTTGCACTATGATAAATATTTCTGGTTTTGAGTCCAGAACACAATGAAGGTCATTGTGCAGCCGCTTCTGTTTGTTGCTGACCTATTCTCTCTCACTTAAGTCCAACCTAATCCTACCTCTACACCATCTTAACTCTTCATCTTCATCACTTCTTCCATCCCGGACATATTTTTCCAGGACAACCCAGCCCTAATCCCAGTGTTCATCCAAAGCCATCACTTGGTCATTTTGTATAGAAACCAAACCCACTTTCTAGTTTTGTCTAGGCCTCCTCTAGCTATGACTTGAGCACCAAACCTGTCCTGTGTACCTTTTACTCCACCCTCCCAGGGCTATTATGCAAACAGAGACAGTTCCTGGCCTAAAGAATCAGGCTAGGCCAGGCAAGGTGGCTCACGCCTGTAATCCTAGCACTCTGGGAGGCCAAGGCCGGAGGATTGCTTGAGCTCAGGAGTTCGAGACCAGCCTGAGCAAGAGCAAGACCCCATCTCTCCTAAAAATAGAAAGAAATTAGCTGGACAACTAAAAATAGAAGAAAAAAAAATTAGCCGGACATGGTGGCACGTGCCTGTAGTCCCAGCTACCCGGAAGGCTCAGGCAAGAGGATCACTTGAGGCCAAGAGCTTGAGGTTGCTGTGAGCCAGGCTGACGCCACAGCACTCTAGCCCAGGCAACAGAGTGAGACTCTACCTCAAAAAAAAAAAAAAGAATCAGACTAATGAAAAGGTCTAACTTGTTATCAAAGGAATACAGATTTAAGGCAGTAACCCAGATGCAGGGGATGGGAAGGAGACAGGTACTTAGGGAGTTCTACAGATACTGTGGTACAAGTGGAAGATTTAGCAGGAGGATGTTCAGAAAAAGAATTTCTGAAGGTATAGGAGAAGGCTCTTGATTCTGAAATACACAAGAAAACAAAGCTAGAAGGAAAAATATTAGGGAATTCTTCAAAAGATTCAACTAGCTACATCTAGTTTATGTACAGAACCCCATAATCAGGGGCTAGGTCATTGGTGTGCCATGCCAAAACACAAACTTTATAATGAAGCCTAATGCGTTACTGCTTATAATACTTTTTTCCCATCTCTAACCCTTTTCATATAGTTTTATTTAGAGCACAGGAAACAAA